AGTCTGTGATTCTATGGTTCTATGAGAGGTGAATAAAAATTACATATGTTTATAAATATGTATGCATATACTCAAACCAAGGAGGCAGTCGGGGTACCGGCCCTGACTCTTGACCTCATCTTTCTGGGGGGCAGGGTAGCGGCCAGAGTGGTTCCTCGCCGTCTCGGGAGCGTGTCATTCACTGATGTGGGACTGTCTCTGTGCTCCCTCCTTAGTGCCAAGAAGAGCAGAGGCCAGCAAGAGGCACGGTGGAGGTGGCTGAAGACAGCGTTTCTCCTCTCCTCTGCTGCTGCGGGTGGCCTCCTGAGCTGGAGCTACCTGAGGGCTGAGGATGGGGTCACAGAGGTGCTGGCTCATCGCAGTGAGGACCTGCAGGACAAGTTCATTGAGATCCCCTGCTCTGAGGACTACGACAGCCACAAAAGATTTGAAGGTATTTGGATAGGATTGTCTGAAGTGGGACGAAGCAGGCTTCAGAGAACCGTAGCAGGCTGACTGCTGTCCTGGTCTGCTAAACCTGATGTGTACTGCAAAACTCCCGTGTTTCTAGCAGACACCTGGTCACTGGGCATGATGTTGAAACTCCCAAAACGTTCATGCCTCTTGGGCCAGCCCATAAGTTGTTGCGTCTGAGAGGGTTTTTTTTCTGTTGTTCCTACCTAAATCTCTTTGGAAACTGCTTTGCTTAGGTTGTGTGTGAAATAAACCTTGTGGTGAATCTGTTTCTAGTGTCTTCTCATACTCTGTTGATTCCTGTAATAGGCTTTAGTATTGTCAGTGCTGCCAGCATATGGTAGCTGCACAAATCCTGAAACACCTGTTTTGAGATGTGTGTGAGCACTTGCAGTTTTTAATGCTGCCTGCAAAGCACTTCTCTGTCTTTGTGTCTTTCAGCTGAGCCTATTTTCTGTCAAATTGGTATTTGTTTCCCCTGGTACTGATTTCTTTGCAGTGTTGGTGTTGGATGTTCTAGAGAAATGGAAGATTTTCATTTTTCTGATGAAGAGCAGTGAGAATATAACATGCATTTTGCATGGATGAGCTATGCTGATGCTCTTTCAGATTTGCAAAGAGTATCTTGATGAACATTTTGAGCTGTTACTGTTGCCAGAAAGCAGTTCTACTCAGCTTTTTGTCAGCCTACCTGTATGTCTAGCAGTGTGTTCGCTGATAAGCTATTGCATCAAAAAAAAATTTTTTTCTAAGTTATTTTTTAGCCAAATCAGTTGTCTTATCTGGTTCATTATGTGGCTGACAAAACGCTTGCTTACACAAAGCTGGAGGTAGTGTGGAGGCTGGAAGAAGCTGCTTGGAGCTGAAGAACAAAAATGATCAAAGGGTTGGAGAACCATCCCTGTGAGCAGAGACTGAAGGAGTTGGGTCTGTCTTCCCTGGAGAGGCGAAGTCTCAGGGGGACCACATGACATTATTCCAGTATTAAAAGGCAGCTATAAAGAGGATGAAGGCTCCTTCCCAAGAAGCCACATGGAGAAGGCAAGGGGCAACGGGTACAAGTTGCACTGGGCGAGGTTTCATCTTGATAAAAGAAATACATTTTTTTTACAGAGAAAAGAGTCAGTTAGTGGAACAACCTCCCCAGGGACATAGCAGAGCCCCTGTGAGTGGAGGACCTCAAGATGCAATTAGGCAGGTTGTTAGATACTCTCATCGAGGCTCCCATGGAAGGTTCAACCAGGTGATCTTTGGAGGTACCTTCCAATCTGGGCTGTTCTGTGATTCTGTTCTTTCTAATTTTCTTCCAGTGCCAATTTTGGTAGAAAGTGTTTGTCAAACTGCAGTCTGGATATGGTGGCCTGAAGATGTGGAGGTGATTTCCTCTGTCCTCTTCAGGTGGCTGGTCCTGGTGCTGTTGGCCGAAAGGCTTGTAACATAAAACAAAACTTCGTGTAGTCTGTGGCCAGATAGTTTTTCCTCAGTGCTGCTGTTGTAGCATCTTGCTTGATAGGGTTTTGAAGGATTCATCCCAAATGTTATTGAGGCCACAAAAACTCCCCAGCAAGAAAACTTCATCAGTTGGGGGATTTTTTTGACTAAGCACATGAAAACATGTGTTCAGTTTTAACTTTTTGTAGTTACTACAAGGAGAAGCCGCTTCTGGCTTTTTTAGCATAGTGCCAAGGCCAGAGAAAACTGCAGCCAGTGTTGCTGCAGATTTGATAGTTATGACTGAATTAAGGCTAAAACTGTCTGTGTTCTGCTACTAGGGATTTTGCTTGTCAAAAGAAATCCTCAAAACCAACAAAACCTTAATTTTTCCTTCCCTGGTTTGCAAGAGGAGTTTTCTGAGCTGCAGACTTGAGGTCGTGGAAACCCCATGAGTTGTTCTTCCCATCATAGGGAAGGCAAGAACTCTAAGAATATCTCTGCCTGGGAAGAGGAATGAGTGTGTTCTGTATTCTTGTGATGTGACGGGAGCACGCTCTGCACACGCCAACTGCAGGGTGACGTGTCACCTCTCTTGGCTTGGTATGGAATGATTGACTTGCTGGCATCAACCTGGGAGGAGCAAACTCACCTTGTGTGGGTTTGCATTCTGGCTTTCTAATTAGGTGTTTGCTGCTGCTTAACTTATGTGATTGAACTGGGTTTTTAGCAGATGCGTTTACATGTGTTCCCCTGTATTATGTTTTCTGAAAGAGATCAGTGGAATTAGAAATGCATGAACATCTGTTTTATTAAGTGGTTAATGGAAGCTGTGCTGGGGTAATGAACGTCGCTTGGTTTTTTTTCTCTTGTCTCCTGCTTGCTGCCCGCAAGAGGGGGGTGTTGAGCTGCGGAGGCTTGCTCTCCTGTCAGTGAGCCGCTCCTTGCTCCCGGTGTGCTACTGATAGCTTAGTGAGGCAGTAAATGCGGATTATGGTTCTCTGCCAAACTGGATTCAGCTTTGGAGCTTTAGTCTCTTTGCTGGAAATAGCTTTCTATCACTCAATAGCTTTTCATTCTCTGTCTTTACTCTGGCTTGACATCCATAGCTGCTGGCTGTGTCAGAAGGAGGCACATTCCTGTCATCTCTTGGTGTCTGATGCTCAGCCGTGAAGTTTCCACAGCTAAGATGAGCATTCCATTTATGCACCTGTCCCTGCTTTAAACCGAACTACCGCAACTGAGCGGCTAGCTTAATTCAAATGATATGGTAGGTGGTGTCACAGAGCAGTGGCTTTATTTCCATAGCAGTGCCTGTCAGTAAACCTGCTTCATACAGAAATAAATTGTGTTATTTTTCAGAGGCCAAACACTTATTTGCAGAAGATAGGGTGTTTTGTGAGCCAGCTAATCTGCTTTCTCGGCTCTGTGGCTGTTGCTGCTGTCTTGAGACATGGTTAACTACTTAAAACTGCTGTGGCTACTGATGTGTCTGGTGAAACTCCTGTGTAGTCTCTTATGCGTGTTGATAAAAGCATCCATGATCACTGCTCAGGAGACAGCTTTAAGATGCTTTTCCAGAGGCTACATCAGTGGATGTGGGAAGTAGAATCTGTGATCAGGGGAGGAAAAGGTCCAGTACCTAGACCACTAGAGTGCCAGCAATAGATGCTCAGAGCCATCCAGAGGGACCTGGACAGGCTGGAGAGGTGGGACCATGCCAACCTCACGAAGTTCAACAAGGCCAAGTGCAAGGTCCTGCACCTGGGTCGGGGCAATCCCAAATACAATACAGGCTGGGTGGAGAATGGATTGAGAGCAGCCCTGAGAAGAAGGACTTGGGGTACTGGTGGACGAAAAGCTGAACAT